GAGCTTTAAAAAATTAAATTATATTTTATATATATACACATCAAAATGAATTCTAAATGGGTTAGATATTTAAAAATAGAACATGATATTATGAAGTACAGACTGGGGTTAGAGTATTGGGGGGCTATCCCACCCCTATTTTCCCCCAGGGTACTCTTGAGCAGGAGCAGCAGGAATATCAGATAGAAATATAGCTGGAGAGAGACACAGACAGAAATACAGAATAACCTCGGGAGGGTCTGGATCCTTATCCATTGGGCCCTGACTGTATCTGCCAAAGGACTTTTAAAGGAATGCCAAGCGGTGGAGCAAAAGACCTCCCTCTACCACAGCCAAGTGCAGCTCATTTCAGACACCTAGTGACCATACACGTGGTCCAGCCATCCCCTAATGCAGCCTTGCTGTGAAAAGCAAACTCAGATCTAACTAGGAAACCTTTATGGGCTCCTACATTAGAGAGATGGTTCCATGGTTAAGAGGACATTGTTCTTCTGGAGGACTCCAGTTTGGTTCCCAGCACCTTCCTAAAGCATATTAAAACTGTGGCTCAAGTCCCAGGAAACATAGCGCCCTCTTCTGGCTTCTGTGGCACCTGCACTCATCCAGTAAACATACAGACATGCAGGCACACATACATACCTATAAGGAAACAAATCTTAAAACACTAAAATTAAAATAAAACCAAAGATACCCGCACTTTGCATAATACTTGAGTTTTATAGAACTCTGAAATAAAGCATAAACATAAATAAAAACATAAACAAAAGCAAAAAAACAAAAATTACATAGATTATGCAGCAATTAAAAATTATAATGGTTAGAAAATAAGAATCTGTCCACATGTGGTGGCACATGCATTTATTTTGGCATTCAGGAGGGAAGAGCAGGTGGTTTTCTGTGAAGTCAGACCAGTCTGGACTACACAGTGAATTCCAGATGAGATAGGCCAACCAAGGTTATATAATAAGACCCTATCTTTAAAATGTTTTAGCTAATTAAAAATTACTAGAATAAAGTTGCAAGGCCAATAAAGTCTAGAGAGAATATTCTAGTATCAAATAGACAAACACCAAAAAAAAAATAGAATAACAGAGTAAAGGGGCAATTCATATACAGAAAAGGAAATGTAAATGGATAATGACTATATAAAAGCATAAAAATAATGCTGGTAAATATAATAATATATTCTTTTCACTTAGAAATTTTAAAGATGCTAATACCAATTGGTGGTAAAGACTCAACTTTTCCAAAGTTGTACTAGAAAATTAAATTACATATTTTCTAGCTATATTTGTAAACTTTGAGTCTAGAAGTTACACCAAGATTTAATTTTTATCAAATCGGTGTGTACTGAAGGACTACTTTCACTAGCCTGGCTAATAAAATGGAAATAATTTAAATACTCAATAATTTGTAACTTAATTTCATACAATTAGAGAATTTATTAATTAGGTAGAGAACATCTAATGACATAGAACTTCATTCACAAATACATGAAGAACAGAAGACTTGTTACACATTATCTAAAGGAATGCTCACCCTCCCTTTCATTAAGCAAATGTTCTGACAGAAAATGAAGGGAGAAGTATCGAATTATCTGGAGTGGATACTGGTCACTGTGAAGAAGAGTGAAAATTCCTTACTTTTCAAAAAGGATGCTATGAACTTCAGTGTTCTGGTTGCAGGATCCAAGGAAGAGGCAATGGAGACAAATGAGGAAGGAGCTCTACTCAGAGAAGAAATAAATACTTGAGATACAGCAGGCTTACGGAGTGTTCAGAGTGCAGAAGTCTGCTGCAGCCACAGAAGCAGCCAGATATGGGGAGAAAGGGGGTGGGACAGAAGGAAAAGAAGTGAACCCTAGACAGCAGGCCTCCAGATTTTCTAAGAGCATTCATATTGAAGGGATATATAAATGTTAAAGTGCCAAAGGCAGAGCCTATGCGAGTGCAGAATTACCCAATACACCCTTCCCTCAGTAGCAAGAGGCTTGCATTCAAAGGCTCGTGTTTGTCTAAATACAAGAGACAGATCCTCCTTTCTAACAGTCTGAGGAATTTAAGAACTATGGCATTGTGAGTACCAGGATTTCTTCAAGTCCTTTAGCTTTCTGGGATGATTTAAGGCGAACTAATATTTGCCTCTGTTCAGGGATGGAAACATGGAATCAAGAATACTTCATAGTAAACACTTGTGAATTCTTACAGTAATAAATGCTCTCTGGTGATCATATTATGTCAATGATATGTTTACAGATGCCCTCTACTTAGCTTCCCTCAGGTTATCTTAAATTGACTCTCATACTCAGGTTTTCAATAGCCCATTGCTCTTCTGCACTGGAAGTCTTAAATATTAAAGACAATGTTGTGTCTGGCTGCTGAGTCAGATAAAGAAAAACAAGTGCATAGTTAATGGGGACGTACCATAACTAATATGATTTAAAATTGCATCACTGTTGTAGAAAAAAGGGCCTTTGTGATGGTATTTCCTTTTTCTTAACCTTTCACAGTTGAAAGCAAATTTTATAATGCTTTTTTCTATCAGTACTGAAACCAACCAAATCGTTATTATATCACAATTACCATGATATACAGAGACCATGGATATAAACACATATGTCTGTCCCTCCCAAGGGAATGAATGTCCCTCTACGTCTATACAAGAATTGCAGCAGTTTCCATAATCTTTGCTTATTTAATAGGAAGCATACATGCCCAGAGAGAGCAGTACAAACAATAGAGCAATGGCATCAGTTACTTGACAGATAGACGCTTATTAAAATGGCTAAACTTTCTCCCACTCTCACTGCAAGTCCTTGAAAGAGTAAAGAAAGCAGAGGCTGCTAAGAGCAGTAGAGATGAGGATACAGGGAAAACTTGATTAACAGTTACAACTTCACAGGTGGAAGGAATATGTTCTACTGTGAAATATTAACAATAATATTTCAAAATAGCCAGGAGAGATTTTCAATTATCTCACCACAAAGAAATGATAAATGTTAGAGTGATTGATAGGTTATTCTCAATAGATCATGAAAAATGTATACATATATTGAAATATACACTGTACATTTTATAAATAAGGACAATTTGTGTATGTCAAATAAAATTTTCAAAATAAAAATTAAATTGAAAAAAATTAATAGATGAAATGCCTTGGAAATTATACTTACCTAAGTAAGATCTAGTTTTCAATTTTTTACAACTTTGAACTGTGTGGCCTCAGTGAGGCTTTGTGTGGGCTGGGTGAGGGAGGAAGAGAAGGGTAGAGCACCTTCAACATCACTACACTGTTCCCTGTTCACTTTCTCCCTCATGCCTTCTCACTGTGCACATTCAGCTGCTCTCTCCCATCAGGACCTTTCCTTACCAATATTCTGCTGGGTACTGGCAGAAATTTGATGTTTGGATCTCAAAGCTCTGATGGGTTCAGAGAAACATGCCAGGATACTGGCTAGCTCAAAAGCACTTTTAATCACTCAAGTCACAGATAATTAATACATTGTGAATAACTTTGAGGTTTTTCAGCTAGATATTTTTAATTTTGAAAAGTGCTAATATTTCTCTTTATTTACTGCATTTCCCTGTTCTGACATTCTACTCACTAGTAAATCTTGACTGAAAATAGCTTCAAATCCTCTGGATGTGGTCACTGATAAAAATGGCCTCAAAGAGACCTTTAAAAGATAATTCATTCTTTTCTCCCTCCCTCTTTCTCTCTCTCTCTATATATATATATATAAATATTCATATATATGTATTTCATAACACATATTATACTGTAAGAAATTCTATCATCTTTCATACATAGAGAGATCTATAGATCTAACCATAAATAATAGATCTGTAATATGTAACATAAAACATTATTTATTATATGTGAATATGATGTATATGAATGAATCTATCTATATATAAATGTGATGAGACTATAATACACATGAATTTACTTACAAAGAAATAAAAATCTATGCATTCATATATTTATATTCGTGTGTGTGTGTGTGTGTGTGTGTGTGTGTGTGTGTGTGTGTGTGTGTGTGTTGAGAAAAGCCCCAGAAGAATTTCTTCTAGAAGATAACAGGATTAGAAAACATTTTGTACCTAATTATAGTCAATTTTGTCAATATAAATTGTTAATGAATTTTTCTTGGGTAGGATAAAGTAAACTTCTTTAAGTAGTATAGCTGTACATGGATGGGTTCATACAGATTTGAGGAGAAACCAAAGCCTGGCTAGCTGAGGGTAAAGTCCAGAGGAGATACAACACAAGTCAGTCCAACGAAAGAGAACACCCAAAGCGTTATAGTGCTGAGTTGTTAAAGCAGATGACATATTTCTACTGTCACCCTCTTTTACAGAATGCAACCAAGCATTCATGTGACACTAATGATAGAGAAAACAACATCCAAGTCACTTTTGAGATCACATGGGGAGCACATCCTAAGTCAGTAAACACCACAAAGCCTGGGTGTCCAGGCTTGCTATTCTCCTTACACTGATGAAGTCAGGCTGCTGATAAAATACATTCAAGTGTACCTCAGTGCTTCATTGAAAACCTGTGCTACGTTTTGGGAAACAATTCAATGTGTGTGTGTGTGTGTGTGTGTGTGTGTGTGTGTGTGTATTTTTTTTCAAAATATCATAAACATCCCTCCATACATTGACTGAATGGGTCCTTATTCTTGTCACGATACTGTCTCCCAACATTTTCTTTTTGAACACAGAAAAGTAAAGGTGCCAGTAATCTCATAGACTTTCAAGATGTTGTGATCTGGATTCATAAGAGAAAAAATTTTAAACAAGTAATTTGCTTTACTGGATCCATTTTAATTACCAACTGTAAATTGAAACTTGCATCTCAAGAGTTTCCATTTAATTTTAGGTGGTTTGTGTTTATAGTTGTAATAGAATCTTATAATAACCTTTTATCTTTCTATAATCACAAAACTACTATATCTCAATAATACATGACACTATATTTACCAGTGAGAGTCTTACCCCTAGGTATAACAAGATCCCATAGAAGATGAATCTCCAGAAAAAGCATCGCCGAAGGGCATTGATGAGCTTGGGGTTCTTCTTTGAAGCTTGTTCCCTGTCCCATTCTCTGCAAAGAATAAGAAAACGAGATCATTGAGCTGCAGGTGCAAGTTTCTGAGTTACTCTATTTCCCTTCATAGCTTCCACCCACAAGTATGTTCACGGAGATTATCACACCATGATAAAAGGACAAAATCCTGTGAAGTGTCCCCAGTACCAACTACTCAACCAGATATTTGGTGGAATTTGATGCTCTGTCATGTAATATCTCTGAAGAGCTTCATTTCATGAAACTACTAAGTTGTGTGTGTTAAGGAAGTGCACTAGGCTTCTTCAGAGTGATGGCGAGGGTGAACAAATAATGGATAATATTTAGAATGCATTTGTGCTCAGAACAAGATCCAAAAATAGATTATTCTAAGCTTTCCCCCTCATTTCATGATATTTATATGTTTTTAAATGTCAGATTTCACAATATTTAACTTTTAAACAAAATAATAAATTAAAAAAATCAGGTGGATCTTTTGTTTTAAATTTTTTTTCAATTTTAATTAATATAATTTCATCGTGTCTCCTCCCTCTAACCCCTCACCACCCCTCCTCCTCATTCCCTCTCAAATTCATAGCCTCTTTGTCTTTGACTGTAACACATACTGTTGTTGTAACACACATATGCAGCCTGCTGAGTTCTTTTAGCGTTGCTTGTGTATGTGACTTCAGGGCTGAACCCTTGGTAGCGGATAGCCCACTGGGGAACTCACCTGTGGGAAAGACCATTTCTCTCTCCGTTACCTTTCGTTCTTTGTCTAGAGGTGGGGCTCAGGAAAGAAGGGGGTGAGCACTGAAAGAGCCCCCGAGTGCCAGAAAGCCTACTGTGAGATGTGTCTCCTAGAAATGCCAGGGATGCTACACCCATGATACTTCAATAATCTGGTTGCCTAAAACAGGCCTGAACAATGACAATACTAATAGACATGCTAATGAAAGGGGAACATCAGGTGAACGTTTTAATGATTTAACACAAGAAAATCCTATTTGGATGTTTAAAGAAAAAGCATGAAAGAATCATCATTAAACTTTAGCATCCAACTCCTGAAATCATTTTGTAGTGTAAAGGTCTTTGAAAAGAGAGAAAAATAACAATATTTTGTAGTGCGGATAGGTACTAAATAGTACTGACAAACTAGCTGATGTCTAATACTTGAGTTTTATTTTCAGTACTCCTAGAGCATCAGCTGGTTGTTTTGAGGTTGTTGCCACCGCTGTCTATTAAGACAAGTATTTTTTTTTAATTTTGCAATGGAATAAAATAGGTCTCAGTGTCACTTTCATGTTAATTTTCAAATTGTTCTGAGATGGAAAAATCCCATGAACCACAGACAAGAACTGAATATTTAGATAATGGTCTTGTATTTCATGAATGACTATTCTCATTATTATCCAATTTTCATAGCTAAATTGGTTCTACATCATGTGAGAGGAAGAACATACAACTGAGATTTGATGAAAAGCTTGGCAATCTCAATACAAAGACCATGACTTCCCCCATGAAACCTGCCAATGGCAGCCTATCTATAAAGCCTAACCAACCCATGTTCCTCTTCTGCTCTTCATTCACATACATGGAGCCTGTTTCTCCATCTATGATATTTAATGAATCAAAAATAGGGCACAAAAGTAAGTATATAGCAGCAGCATCTTCTCCATGCAAGGAATAGGTCTCATTAAAAATTCTCATTAGAACTTAGTGATATCTAGGAAATGTAAGAAAGGGACTGTCCATAAACCAAAGAAATAGTTTCAAGATAAAGATATCATTAACAGTGAAGTAGTAAGTACAAAAAAGCATCACATTTGATAAGAGGTCTCTGGTATCCCTCATCAATGCAATTGTAGGAACATGGTCAGAACAGAAACCTTATTTCAGGTATTGAGATATAAACGGATGATAAACCAGTGAAGACCAGAGCAGCGGAGAATCATCAGCTATGAAATGGGAGAGATGTAGTGACTTGAGAGAAATGAAAGCTGTTGTTTTAATTGGTGGGACTTGAATAATTTGTAACTATAGAGGAGGAATTAACAAGAGTAGATAGCATTGATCCAGCAGCACATTAAAAAGGCCATGTTTCCTCCACAAATTATTAATCCCACAATTATGGTACCTAAATAAAGATAACCTGGAAGATTATAAGTATATTGAAACAACTAAAACAAGGCATCAATATACGACAAAAGAACAAAGGGATTAATGAAATAAAGGAGTCGATACAAGATATGATAATAGAATTCAACTAACAGAATTGCTGGGGGAAAAACAAATGATTCTAGAAATCAAAGAAAAATCAATAATCAAAATAAAAATCTCAGTGGGAATCCTCACCAGTAGAATGGATCATGTAGAAAACAGAATTGGGGCTGGAAGACGAGGAACAGGAATTAGATTACTCAGTAAAAGTAAGCAATGAGTCTTAAAAATATATATGACCATAATGTGTGAAACCTCTGGAGCCCCATAATGAATGCTTTGCAAATACTGTCATTAAAACCATATAAGAAAAAAAAAAAAAAAAAAAAAAAGCCGGGCGGTGGTGGCGCACGCCTTTAATCCCAGCACTCGGGAGGCAGAGCCAGGCGGATCTCTGTGAGTTCGAGGCCAGCCTGGGCTACCAAGTGAGTTCTAGGAAAAGCGCAAAGCTACACAGAGAAACCCTGTCTCGAAAAACCAAAAAAAAAAAACCAAAAAAAACATATAAGAAAACAGTCAAACCTAGAAAAAGAGATGCCAATCTAGGTACAAGAGGCCTTACAGAACACCAAATAGACAGGACCACAAAATAATTCTCACTACATATTATGGTTAAAACATTAAATGTACAGAATAAAGAAAGGGATTAAGAGGAAAAAATGTTAAGTCACCTCTAAGGGCAGGGCCATCAGAATAGTACCTGATTATTCAACAGAAACTTTTATTTTAAAAATGTATTTGCTTTTTACATTTTAGATCAAAATATAATTATATCAATTTGCTCTTTCTTTTCTCCAGCCCCTCCCAAATCCCTTTCCTCCAACTCCTTCCATAACCCCATACCTCACTCCCAAATTAATAGCCTCATCCTAATGAATTATTGTTTCTTCAGAAAGGCTTGGAAAGCTATATTCCAAGTTCTAAAACATAATTGTAAGCCCACACTATTATATTCAGCAAAATTATCTATTAAAATATAAAAGAAAAATAAAAACTTTCCATTATAAAAGGAGACTAAAGGAATTTACAAGCACCAAGCCAGCTCTACAGAGGATACTGGGAGGAATACTAGAGTCTGAAAACAGGATAAATAGAGTTCACAAGAAGTCGCAGAGAATAAAGAATTCTAGGGCAGTTAATCAAAAGTCTAAAAATCACCATAAAACAACAAAATGACAGATATTAATATACACCTTTCAATAAAAAACTGTTAATAGTCTCAACTCCTCAATTGAAAGATATAAACTAGGAGCTAGGATTAGAAAAAAGAATCCATCTTTTTGCTACCTCCAAGAAGCATACATCACAATCAACAATAGATACCAGCTATAAATAGATAGCATAAAAAATGGTATTCTAAAGCCGGGCGGTGGTGTCGCACACCTTTAATCCCAGCACTAGGGAGGCAGAGGCAGGCAGAACTCTGTGAGTTTGGGGCTAGCCTGGTCTACAAAGTGAGATCCAGGAAAGGCGCAAAGTTACACAGAGAAACCCTATCTCAGAAAAAAAATGGTATTCTAAGCAAATAGAACTAAGAAACGAGCAGGCATACCTATTCTAATACCTGACAAGAAAAACTTCAAACCAAAACTACTCAGAAGATAAAGAGGGTGACACATCACATCCATTAAGGAACAATCCATTAAGAGGATATTACATTTAGACATTACAATTCCAAATCCATACATACCAAACATAAGCACACACAGTTTCTTAAAAAAAAATGAGTGGCTTCAAACTCAGTTTCACCAACAGACAAGTCATCTGGGCAACAACTGAACAGAGAAACTTTGGAGTTCAAATGATACCATAAATCAACTGGACCTAACAGACAACTGCAAGTAAAGCACAAACTCTAAAAGAAATGGATAATTTGAGGATAAATATGACCTATAAAGCTAAATCAATATTAAATAAATAATTTAATCTATTCCATAACAGCCAATGAGAGTAGTAATTAAACCACCCTACTAAAAAAACATAGCACAGAATTCTACTAAACCTTCAAAGAATACCAACATCCCTCAAACTGTTCCATAAAATAGGAAAAGAAAATTCCCAAATTATTTTTACAAAACTTTTATTAACCAATCTCAAAGACCCAACAAAAATGTGAATTATAGACCAGTCTTATTGATGAACACAGAGTGAAAACTCTCAATAAAATACTTATAAATCAAATTCAAGAACATATAAAAATATCACCTATGATGATTAAGCCAGCTTCATCCTAGTGATGCAGGGAGTATTCAACAAACATAAATCAATAAATGCAATATATCAAAAAAGTACACCCAGGGACAGAAACCACATGAATAAATCCTTAGATGTAGATATACCTTTGACAAATTCCAACATCCCTTCATGATAAAAGTCCTGGAGAATCTAGGGATACAGGGAACAGGTGTCAACATACTAAAGGGAATATACAACAAGGCCACAGCCAACATCATGGTAAACGGAGAAAACTCAAAGCATTTCTGCTATAATCAGGAAGATAGGATGTTCACCCTACCCTCTCCACTACTGTTCATTACAGTGCTTGATATCTACTACAATAGTAGTATATAAGGTGGATATAAATAGAAAAGGGATAAGTCAGAGTATTCTTATTTTTAGATTGTATGAATCTTTCCATAAAAAGACCACAAATATTCTACCAGAAAACTCCTACAGATGATGAATATGTTCAACAAAGAAACAGGATACAAAATCAACACACAAAACTAATCAGTAGCCTTCCTACAGAAATGACATGCATACAAAGAAATAAATGAGGGAAAAATTCCACTCACAATAGCCTCAAAAAATAAAGTATCTTGGAATAAATCTAGTCAAGGAAGTAAAAGACTTACACAATGAGAACTTTAAGACACAAAAACAAATAAATTTAAGAAGATAACAAAAGATGGTATCTTCTATACTTATGGATAGGTAGAGTTGATATTACGAAAATGGCTGTTCTATAAAAAGCATTCTATAGAGTCCATGAAATTTTCATAAAGATCCAATGCAATACTTCATAGAAATTGAAAAAACTTAAAATTCAAATGGAAACACAAAAGACATAAGCTAGCAAAAATATTACTGTGAAAATTTCCTAAAATATATACATACATGCAAATAAGAAACATTTAAATGGAGTTACCATGTAACAGAGGTATAATGCCTCTCTTAGACACCATAGTCTAGCAAGTAAAAATCCCAGTGCCAGGTACTGGTAATAGTACTAGATAGAGTTTTTGGTCACTGGGGTCCCACACACACACACCCCCCACCAAACATTAAAGGCCATAAATTGTCAATGTTCTTGGTTAGCTTCCAGAATTTGATGGTAAGACCCTACTGCTGAGGTCACCGCATACTTGAGTCATAGGGTGTGGAAAAATCAATCAGGTACCAACACAGAAGTTTCATCCTTAGAGGCTAGTGATCATAGTGTGGAAAGTTCTATGCATGCCACTAGAGGAGAAAAGTGACAGTCATATGCATTTGTAAACCATGTGATCGACAATGAACATGAGCTTTGGAAAGGTATGTCCATGAGTAGGATATAGGAAAAATCAACCCTTTTCTGATGAATTGAAGGCATACTTTATGAGATAGAAGTTATGCCTGGTACCATTAACTGGATTATATCATAGCCCTAGGGGAGAACCTAATACTATTATTCTGCTAAGTGGACATAGTATTAACCTACTACCTAAGTTATCTTTTATCCACAGACTAGTGCATGTCTTAACCCTCATCAGATAAAGAGTAGACAGCAAGCAATTTAGAGAGCCACAACTGACCAGTGTGTAGAGAATAAGTGACTGTGGAATCCTCAGCTCTAAATGGGACACCTATCTGGTCAGAGACCATCATGGAAGTGGGTGTGGGATGACTTTCAGAGCTAGAGTTATTGGACATCTCTAGCAAAATAGTATGTGCTGCCAGCATTTGCTGGACATGGCAGCACTCTTACACAGCCCAGGTCCTACGGCCATAGTCTGTGCACATGTGCTGAGGGGCTGCTTAGGCTCTATACTCATGCACTAAATCCCCTTATTAAAGGCGAACCCCTCCCCCTCTCTTCCTCTCTCTTTCCATGAGGCCGTGTCTGTACCTCTTCTCTTCCCCCTTTCCAGTCTTCTCTTTTCTTCCTTTCTTATTCTTTCTTTCCTCACCCCTTATCTCCAGAGGCACACTCGGCGTTCCCCCTGGCCCAATAAATTCTCCACATAAGTTTTGTAGTGTGACATGGCTTTCTAAGGCCCCTTGGCTCCAACCCGTGGGGGTTTTTTTATAACAGGTGGGGGAGGGGTTCATGAAGTCCCACCCCCATCTGGAGCTATTGGTAATTGACGGAGAGTCACTTTTCTTCGAGGGGGGGGGGTGCAGCCCCTGAGAGGCCACCGATGATCCAATAGATGTTCCTATACCCATCCACATATTGGCACCACTAAGTGAAGTCAATGAGTTTTAAAAAAGAGTACACAAAAGTTGGGAGGGAGAGGAGGTAGGGAGGATAGCCCATGAATTGGATAAAAGGAAGTAGGAGATGGACTTGACAAAAACATATTATATGCTTGTATGAAATTCTCAACAAAATAAACCAAAATTAAAAAGAAAAAAATACAAACTCTAAGTTTTTTTATTTCAAAGAATCCTAATATATTTTGTTTTAACATCAGAAAGTTAAACTACTCCTACTTTATATATTCATAATAGAAACCAGAAATATTTTAAGAATATTCAACCAACATATAGGTTTTTATTAATGTAATTTTTTTGTTACTTTTATACTACTGTGACAAGGCACCATGACTAAGGCAACTTAGAGAAGAAAGAGCTCATGGGGGGCTTAAAGTTTCAGAGGGTGAGTTCATGACCATCTTAGTGGGGGGCTTAGCAGCAGCAAGCAGACACAGTGCTTGAGCAGCTGAGGACTTACATTTTGAGATGCATCCATGAAGCAGAGAGAGCTAATTTGGAATAGCATGTGCTTTTGAAACCCTAAAGGTCACATCTCCTAATCCTTCCCAAAAGTTTCACCAACCAACTGCGGGCCAAGCATTCCAATATATGAACCTATAGGGGTAACACTCATTCAGACCACTATAAAAATAAACATTTTCAACTAAAAAGTATTTTGAAAGCAAGTCAGACATGGTGGCACATTCCTATAGTCTCAGGACTTGAGACATTAAGGCAAAAAAAAGGTGGTTTTGAGGCCATCCTGAGTATGTAGTCAGATTAAGGCTAGCTTGGGCTAAGAAATAAGATCTTGTCTCGAAAGATCAAGTCTAGGAATGTACCTCATTGTTAGAGTGCTTGTCAAGCAAGGACAAGGGCCTGCATTTCATCCCTACTGCCACATACATTTTGGAAACAAATTAGATAATCTGCTTTACAATGATGTTATTTTAGTCTTTCCAAATACTCCTTCATGTCTTTTAAAAATAAGTCAATTCTGAGAATATACATCATTTATTTTAGTAAAAGAGGCCACTTCCTAAGAAAATGATTATTTTTCACTTACGGTTTCATTGTTCAATTCTTGAGTTGATCAAGATTCAGTCAGAATATAAAATGCTCCTATTTTAAATGTGCCACTTAAAAATGAAACCTCTAACATGTCAGTTTTCTGTTCTCTAAAAGACATGAGAAATGTCTTTCTTCTGCTAGTAAAGTCATGGATAAGTTCTTACCTTTCTACCTTTTCAGACACATGATCAGCTGAATCAGAAGAAGGGGCTTGGTATATGTCTGACAACTCCAAGCGCTGTCTGTACCCTTTTCTCAAAATCGGTGTGGTCCAGCTAAAAGAGAGGAAGGCAGACAGATATATTCAGTTGATTACATCTCCAATACAGACATGATGACGTCATCTGAGAAGGAGTGGCACAACTAGGTACTCACTACCCCAGTCAGTATCTCACACACAGAAAGTGAAGTTGAAATACAGGTGGCAACTAGTAGAGAAAATAAAATGGAGGCAGCAATGTGGGATGCGATTTTGTGACTTAGGCATTACCCTTTAGAAACTTGAAGCAGGGGTTTACTATCAATTTTTTTAAAGTATCTATTTAGCAATTGCCAAAGAACTTTCACAATCATTAGCATGTTGTTATTTTCATTTTGAAACTTAGTTAAGCAAACGGAACAAAAGGGGGTGTTGTCTTATTACCCAGCTTAGGAAATGGTACTCAAAGACGTAAAACTCTTCTGAATTATTAATGTAAAAGATTCTTCCACATTCTTTTGAATTCATTCTTTACCATGTTCAACTTTAAGAAAATCAGTGGGTTGTAATAAAATGAGACACCTAAGTAGGAGAGTGAAGGCAGGGGAGTGAAAACTAATAGGAAATAGGTAGAGGTGTGGTCTGCAAACAAAAATAATCCTTTTTCCAGAAAACAAGTAAAGGCTGACCATTCATTGCTTCATAAATGCTCTTACTATGATTAATTCAAGATACCAAAGATGAGATCACTGAACACAGAACTGGGAAGAGAACTGAACTGCATATAATATTAGTATGTCTACCACCTCAGAGACAATGAACGCAAATGCCCTCAATACCATAACAGCGCAACATAAAATAAATGCAAAGTGATAAACTCTTGAACTTTTGTTTACCATATTGTAATGTAAGTTCTATAATTTGATATTTAATGACTATGTTTAGCAGCGAGCTCATAAATCATCTCAGCTAGAGAGATTCAAGTATGTGCATCACTCCTGGCAGACCTTTGAAATCCCAGAAGGCTGATGGCATGGAACAGAAAGAATGATGGTCTGTAGAACACAGTAAAAAAGAAAATGCATTATACCTACTAGCAGTGTTGTGCTCTCAGTATATTTGAAATCATTAAAAGCATGCATTTAAAAGGTGTTTTAAATGAGAACCTCACTGTCTTCTAATACCATTCCTCTAAAGGCATTTAGAAGAAATTTTAAAATCTTCTTAAGTCCTTAAAAAATTAGTATAATTCTTTTGATCCATGTATAAGATTTAGTGGCCATTCTCATGAATGACATTCCAGCTCAGTTCAAAATTTTTAATCTGTGAGATATTTTTAGAAAACTCATCTTTTTTATCTCAGACTATTTTAAGATATTATATTACACTATGACTAGTTTTATCAAGAGAACCATAGCCCAACAACCATCAAGCCAAATAAATTCAGCAGTATAATATCCAAGCTCATCATCTGTAATTATTAGTTAGCATTTCTTGGCAGTTACACTACAGTATGCCTGAATTTATGTTTCCAAATTAAAGCCGGTTCAAAGTAAATTGTAAAAACTAAAATCTAGGGACAGTAGCGATAATCAGTGGTTTAGAGCAGTTGCTGCTCTTACAAAGGACTAGGGTTTGATTCCCAGCACCCACATGGTGACTCACAACTATCTATAACTCCAGGTCAGCGGGATCTGACACCCTCTTTTGACATCTGAGGGCTCCAGGCACACATGCAGTACACATATATATGCACACACACACACACACACACACACACACACACACACACACACACAAACTGATATGAGGCAAAACACTCATTCAAATAAATAAATCTTAAAAAAAGTTTAAAATCTATTAATCTTAAGCTGTCTGCAGAATAAATCAACTTCTCCTAACAATGAGTTCTCTATGTCAACTACAGGACAGTCTAAGAAATATAAAACAAAATTGAAGAAACCAGGCATCCAAGTTTTAGACACTATGCAATGTTAATGTGAAATTCAAGCCACTCTTTCTTTTCAGTGATGGACTTGTGTAAATTGAACAGTGTTCAAGCCAGGATTTTCACCTCAGTATTTCTTCCATTAAAAAGCAATATACACTCAGGTATTTCATGAGTCTGAGTAGGTTCAATTGGGATGACATAAGGCATTACATTGATGAGCTCCTCTTCTGTCTTCCAATGCCCCGGCTAGTTTTTCCCCTCACATCTAAGCAACCTTATGACAAGCCACTAAATATGTTCAATGGATTTATAAATTGGTATTCCTAAAAATTCTGATGGTTTTCCAAGTTAGGGGTTTTCTAACAGGAACTAGTTAATCAATTATGAGGTGGCAGACTTAGAGCATATGAATATTTTTAAAGTTTACTAACATTCAGGAAAAACCCCTTATCTCAGATATACTGTTCTTTTCACTTAACCATAAGGAGCTTCAGGTTTTATTGTGAACAATGCTAGCATTTTAGTTTTTAAAGACACACACACTAATCTTACTGTGTTTATTTAGTTCATTTCTTTTCTTTGGGAAAACTCTAATTCTATACAGAATGATTTGTAATTTCTAACGAAATAATTTGCTCCTAGAGATTGAGGGCAGAAGTTCCTGCTCTAGGAGTGCCAAAACAACGCTCAGTCACCTGTCCTACCATGCCAAAGAGATGAGCAGTGATGAAAGACAGAGAGGAGATTTAATCCACGTGGGCACAGAGTGAAGAACAGAAAAGGGGGTTCTGTAGCTCCCCACCCCAAGTCCATCCTCAGGATACTGGCAACAGCTTAGACTTAAAGACAAAAACCAAAAAGGTAGGGGCAAGACATGTGTATCACTTTAAAGAGTCTCGGTCAAACTGTGGTCTGGTCTCAATTCTTGTTCCACAAGGCAGTACAAATAAGTCATTATTGTTTGCGAGAACCAGCCAATTCCTGAGAAAGAAGGCCCCTGTGGAGGGCCTGATTCTTGTGCATAGTGGTCTGTCTGTGTGCTGGGCTCTCCTGGAATCCAGAGTGACTACAGCCTTACAGCAATCACTGGAGAAATGCAAGAGCATCTTGGGAGTCTAGAAATGGGTGCTATGGAAGGGGACAGTAAGATTTCTCACTCTTGTCTTTGCGCATTAAAAGAGAACAAAACAACTTAGGTATCATTTTTTAGACAAATACCACTTGAGAGATATAAATACCGACATGCAAAGTTAAGACTCTGATTGAAAATTTTAAGACAAGGAAACAGATGCAAAATGTAGGCAGGGGCACCAGGCTTTTAGCCTGTTTATAGTGACCTGTGAGCCAAATGGGGAGTCAGGGTTCTTTAACAAGAACAATTTCTAAGTTTCTCCTAATAATTTGTCCATTATAATGGCTATTAAAACTTTGATTTTTCTCAAAACCTATCCTCCTAAAAGCCATATATTTAAAGTTGACATTTAGCTTAATCTAACAGAGACGCCTGGCATTTTCATCTACTACAACTTGATATGAAGATTATGTTTCAGATATTTTCAAAACCAAATCATCATTTACACAGAGAAATCATACTTTCACAGTACTTAGCATTACTTTTTATTAAACTAGTCAAGTGAATTTAAATACTAAAACAACCAGTTGTATGACATTTCTATCACAACTGACATGTTAGCCCACACTCATGACCTTTTCCTTTCTCATGACCTTTTCCTTTTTAGATAAAATAGTTCTTAAGAAATCAAGTGAAAGTTATCCAAACACTAGAGATTTACTTATCGCCCCCATAAATTTACCTGAGTCCAAAGTGTCTCCCATTGTCTATAGAGTCCTAACCAGCTAGAGCCATTGAAGGCAGCCAGACACAAAGAAGTCATCTGAATCAGTTGTGTAGCATAGCTCTGTCCTATCATTTGCTTTAGCTATTCTCTAAGTGGTTATGAGGAGGTAGAATTTAATGCTAAAAGTTAACTAACCTCTATAAAGTCTTTAAAAACTTTGAATGCCACAATTGTTTTATCAACTTCGATTCAAAGTTATTTTGTAGCCATATGTAGTTTTTCAAAGAATTTAGAAAAAAAACTAAAATAGAACCCCGTTAATAAAATTTCTATATAAAACAAGTAGACTTCAGGAAGTCAATCTAACTTTACCTGCACGAAATCAAGCCAGACAAACTCCCAGCATGAAGGCAGGAGTGGTTACGATGTCCTGTGCTTAGCTGAGATGCTATTGGCAACTGATGGCTGTCCACAAAAGGAGAGCCAGTTTGTTCAAGGACTCCAGAGCTGAGAGACCACACGTGCCACAGCACCTGGTCCTACATTCATGCACACACTGGCAGCACTAAGTGGACTGGGGGGCGGGGTTAAAAAACAAATGGCACATGAATTCGGGAGGTTTGCAGGTGACAGTGACAGAGGAGGAATTGGAGGAGAGGGCATGGGGCAGAATTGATCAAGACACGCTATACGCATATATTAAACTCTCAAACAAAAAATAGTGAAAATAAAAAATTCAATCTAAAATCACAGTAATGTTGTCAGGCTGATAGCCTCCGCTCTGATGGTTCCATGAAGAATTTGGCACTGAATTTGCTACATCTCCATTATACTGCTGACTATATAAGCACTGACCACTAGATCAGCATGATTGACTTTACGAACACTATGCATGACTGCTAATGCTTAGCCATTTCTGTGTTTGAGAGATAAACTATTCACAAAGCTCTCATTTTCAAAGGGATTATAGTTATTCTGTTTTAGATGGCTAAAATAGAATCTAATCAATGAACTTCAGAAGATGTGGACAGCTAGCTAATTACTTACTACTCAACAAAATGATCACAAATTCTAAAAAAAAAAAAAAAAAATCTTCTAAAGGCCTAAGGTTTATAAGAATTCTAGAAGTCTAATCGAAACCAGTTTGTAACTTTGTGGCAAAATGAACCCAAACTTTAAATAATAAATTAGGTCTATCTATTTCATGAGATACCTCTAAATATAAACCAGGGAGGAGATGGGGAGGGAGTGAATGGGGAAAAGAAAAAGGAAAGCTAGAGAAGAGGAGAGGGGAAGAGAGGTAGAAAGAGAAAGGGAGAAAAGGTT